TGACACAAAATGTCTCAAATTTGCCTTCGTGTTGTCGATTACGTATGACTATGCATCATGTATTCAGCAAATACACAGCAACTAGTTGAAAACTTCAGCTCAGCATTAAGTTACATGATTTTGCAAAACATGCTTGGCTATCAGGGTTTGTACATAAAACGAAAAGGTTGTTATATACAATTATACATAAGTTCCGATTATGCATACTTATATATAATGTCCATAATGTTTTTTGTACAATTTTATATGAAGTNTTGTTAGTCTAATATATAATTATATATAAGTCGTGCATCATGTATAAGTATATATGAGTACAGATAAAATTCAGATATAATCGTACATAATTTATATGTGATTCTATATAAACAAGAAATTCTGATCTTATTTTAAGAAATTCTAAAATTATTTCTTTTGATATATAATATAATATAGCAATTCATGGATATGTGATCTTTTTCTTAACGAACAAATGTGTGAATTCAACAGATAATCGAGAAATTCTTTTTCACTATTAATATAAATAATGTTAGTTTTAATAGATCATGCTAGTTTTAATAAAGCTATTCTTCTAATTTTGTGTCTATACGTACTAGATAACAGACATATATACATATACAGAAATACACAAAAAAGNTATATAAATGGAGGCGAAAAAATCANTTTACTTTAGTAAAAAATGTTTATTTATTCTAAAGAAATAATAACACATTTAAAATATAAAATAGGAACGTGAACATTTTGGACGCTATTAATAGAGTTATATTAGAAATAAAAGATACAAAAATAGATATATTAGAAATAAAAGATACAAAATGTTATGACACTTTTATTATGTCTATACTGGGTTGTAATGTCCCACATAGCATCGTTAGTTAATTAATTAATAATGTGTAAGTAAAACAGTAGGAGTTAGTTTACATACAAATGTACATTAAAGATTATTAAATATTAACACTTAATATTTTAACTGTTAATAGAACCAAATCAAATGTATCATTCCGCATTGATAGTGATGATGAAGACTCGACCGCTACTACTAGTGAAGATGTGGAACAAAATAGACAGCAGAAAACAAAAAAACAGAGCCCGAATAAAAACCTTGATTCAGCACTGAACAGAATTGCTGATGCTTTTTGTCAAGGAAATATGCAGGCACCGATCATTTTACTAGATCCTCCGCAAGACGATGACGTGACCGCAATTATATCCGTAATTGAAAGAAGATTAAGGAAACTTCCACGAAATGTATTGGATTATGCAGCGCAGAAAATTTTTTAGTTAACATATGATCTCGTTGAAAAGTATGAAGCTTAAATTTCTTATATTTATAAACTTATATGAGTACAGTCTATATTATATTATAATAAAGAGTATGTTATACTACAATAGTTAAGATACTATAAGTATGTTCCCAGCAAACAATTTCTGACTACGCAAACCTTGGCAACAGAAACTGTGTGCAGAAACGCTACAGTACGGAAACATGCTTTGGTGCTGCCAAAACTGTTAGCACATAGAGACAAAAAACGCAACAACTCTGTTGGCACATACATGAGACTATTGCGGCCAAAATGATTCCATATATGTTAGTGAAATTGATAACAAATAGATGGTCGATAGCAAGCAGATCTG